CACCCCGGTCGCCCGATTTAAATCCATTAGATTTTTTTCTTTGGGGCTATTTTAAAGAAATAGTTTACCAAGGAGAGAACAATAGCGAACAAGAACTACGACAAAAGCTCGAGTTTGCTAGAGTACAAGTAACTAACAACAGAAGTGCATTCCGTAGGTTACGTAGGAATTTTATTAGACGGTGCAGATTATGTATTATGGTCAGAGGCAGGAATTTTGAGCATTTATTGTAAAATGTTTTGCTTAATAAAACAATTATTTCGCAATCGTTGCTTTGTTTTTTCGTCCTAGAAAGATATTAGAGCCACTCATGGCCATGTGTAATACCATTTCAGAATCCCTATTAAATGCGCCAAAACTTGTAATACAGGGTCACTTTTCGGTAGAGTATTTTTTTTTTCACAGTGGGGTCCGAAGTAAATAAAAAGTTATGATTTGAGAAAAAAAAATCGTAAAACTTAATATTATCTTCAACACACCCAATAAACAACCATAAATGGCATGTCTAACGCAAGGACTCATCAGTACCAATCTAGTGAAAATTATAAAAAAGATAGAGGATGTATATTTTTTGGCATTTTAATAAGAATTAGTTAAAAAAAAGTCAATTTTCTCATAAAAACACAAAATAAATTATAACTCTGCAGGGGTTGACTTTAAGGACCTCCCGTAGAACAACTTTTTGCAGCTGATGACCCCATCTAACCCCTAGTTGCGTTTGATCCACGACTTTTGGGCCACCCTGTATAGGTGTAACATTTAAAAAAATATTTTTATTAAATTTCTTACGAAATTATAAAACGAGTAGAAGAACCTTTCCGTGCCTAATTTGCTTGCCTTTATGTGCTAATTTAAGCTTTATTTATTGGGTTATTCCATTTATCCCTCTCTCTCACCCTGAGAAATCCACCCTAGTGTGAATACACGAAAACGGGATGCATAATCGGAATTCACTTTTTGATTATTGTTCTGCCTTTTCAGCTCAAATACAGTTCAACAAAAATAAATTATACTATTGATTAATTTTTAATATTCACAAACTTAAAAGAAAAAAAAAACATATTACGTATTGAATTGAAACCAAATTAAACTTCAAGGAAGTTAATTTTTAAATGAAAAGTTTTTAAATAATGATAGGTAATTTATAATTCTGCTATATATCCAGTAAATGACCAACCCTAATTTCATTATTGATTAGACATAATTGTATATTCTGTTTAAATTTGTCTCTTTTAATGTACATTTGCAATCGTTTTCTAACACATCTGCAGTTACAAAGGTTACTGCAGATGTGTTAGCAAAAACTTAAAAAAAAATAATAAATTATCTAGTCGTATCGAGTTTGTAATTCTGTGAGGCACTACGAATGAATTACAAACAACCACATAATTTTCGTTCGTGAGCCATGTCTTTTCATAGTAGTTCACAGACGCCATCATATTATCATCGTATATTATGATGTAATAAAAAAATTCTAGAATGATCTGAGAGTTTTCTAATATATTTCACTGTTTAGCCCTATAAAACTTACGTTTATCAAAACGACGAGCATGCAATAAATATTTCTATTTCTTCGAAATCAGAAATTAAATGGAAACTGAATTCAAACAAATATTATAGGAATTTGAATTCTCTGGTGAGATAATATTTACTGCATGCTCGTCGTTTCTTTCGTCGTTTTACTTACATACTTGTGCTTTCGCGCCAACTCAGTACCCACCATAGATAAGAGTATATATACGGGAATAGATTAGAATCTCTAACGTAAAAATTTGCCCTGACAACAGCACCGCCTGGAAGCTAGTTAATTAACTACTACTACAAATATACATAACTATAGATATTATATAATGTGTGTGTGTGTGTGTGTGTGTGTGTGTGTGTGTGTGTGTGTGTGTGTGTGTGTGTGTGTGTGTGTTATACATGTTCTGTATAGGTACTACTCCTTTTATATTGTTATTTTTATTAAGTATTTTGTCGATTTTTAAATAACAATAAAAAATTGTATGTTATTTAGAATTCGGCATAAATACTTTCGATAAATTGTGGGATTATTCGGCAAAAAGAAAGATTTTCAGTATTGTTAACATTTTTATTTCACAATTTTAAATTAAAATATGTTGAAAATAAAATTCTAACAAACGTGAGATGTTATAAGGGTGATTCAACTTTTTATTGTAACAATAGCGCATATTTAAAAAAAAATTACAAAAGTACTGGTGTTTTTAAAAAAAAATCATAAATTAGATTTAACAGGCATTTATATTCCAGGCAAGGCCACAAACTTTACCATAATTTTAAGCTGTTTTCGAGCTGAGTGCAGAAATTGGGACGTATAAGGTGTCCACTGGGTAACTCTTATTTCTACATGAAAACGACAAAAAATAATTATTAAACGACTTTTATTGAATTAAAGGCACAGTAACATTATTATACCAACTTCAAATAAACAGAAAGATAATCACACTTAAATATTCCTAATTAATCTCCTGAGTCACTCTTAGAAAAAAGAAAACTTTGATTTGTGATAAAAGTTGTCCATATTATATAACGGACAAAAAATAATTAGGTTAGTTTTCCTTTCTTTCCATGAGATCTTTAGTCATCCCTTCTTTGGTCAGCTTGACATTTTTTACAGCTTTCATTCTTTTTCCATCTTTTTCATAAAATTCTTCTTGCCTGACTCATTCACACCACTTTATAGTTTCGTTATTTTTTGTTGTATCATGCTGTAATTCTTTCGTACCACAATCATTGCATGTTCCAAACATACAATCTTGACTTTTGGTGTCACAAACCGTGGAGAAATAAGTACGTTTGAATCATGGTTGCTAATTAAACGTTTTTTTTAGAATTTGTGCTTTAAGTACTGGGTTGACATCAGTGGCGAAGCTTCTATAAAAGCCGAAAAGCCGGGCTTGCCTTATTAAAACTCAATCAATCAATAATATCAACTAATAAAATAACTCATAAACTGTTTCAAATTATTTCAATTTTCCCGCGCACTCCACTGTTCGACACATGTCGACCGATGACCTCGTATTGCCTTAGCGATACTCACAGAGTACCTTTGTATAAAGCGATACTGCTGCTGTCATAAAAAGTGAGTTTTAATAGAGCGATTAGTTGTCTCGCTCGCTCGCGTGGGCTTTTTACGGGCCTTTCGAGAAGACGATCGCTCTCTTACTAACCTATGGCAAAATATTCTATAATGAAATATAACTACGAAATGTTTATATAGCAATTACTATTGAGCCACAAGCCTGGCTTTGCCATGAAGTTGTTTAGGGGTGCATTAGCGACTAGCGAATGGGGTGCGGGCCATTCGTATGCAAGTTCGCTTCACATTTCAATGTGTGTTTGTTTTTGTTGTGTTTGTTAAAAATGTATGCTTTTTCAAAGATTTTCAGTGAAAATGGGAGGATAATAGTGTTCATTGTGATGAATATAAGTGTGTTGAAGTGCTAATCGGCGAGGAAAAGGTAAGATGTTTAAAAATGAAATTTAATATTCAATAAACATTTCTTCATACTTTAAATATAGGTACAGGACTCTTTAGTATTAAAGTTAATTAAGTTAGGCGTATTTAAAGGTTTAATAACTCAATATTTATATTACCGTTCTGTATATATATACATTAAAAGAATTAAAAATATCAATTTGAACACCAGCATAAAATATGAGACACCTAGGTTTAATTTTATAGGAAATAAGTGTTACAATCTTTTTTTTAACGTGAAGCCCAAATTTTAATAAAATAAATCAAAAGAATGCAGAAGAATGTATTGAGATTGTTAAAGAATACTCCCTTTAATTATTTCCAGTATATAAAATTTTAATAGCGCCATCTACTTAATTCTATAGGTAAAGTCATTTTATCGAACGAAAATTGGTTGATTCTCACGATGGTACCTAAAGATTACGCTAGATGGCACAAATGCGCTATCGGCTAATTTATATTACCATAATATGAGTTTAAAAATATCATTTTGTACGTTTTATTATGAATTGAAAATGAATAATTATATAATAAATAGTCATTTTATGGTAAAAAATTAGCAAAGCTTTATCTTCTCATTATAACTAATTCCTTTCGTAATCTGTTCTTTTATGCATATAACTTAAATAAAATAATTTGGAGGTTTCACATCTGCCAGGCGTCCCTTTTTTAACTTTGTACATAGTTTGTTTGTACTTTGTTCATGCTTTTCTTTTGTTCATGTATTGTATTGTTTGTAAATATCTCAAGCAAACCCAAACGGCTCTTCAAAACCACCGAAGGTGTGCAATTGCATATTATGTCATACAATCTATCTAGCGGTAGTATGCTTTCTGTGTGCTTTGTTAAACACGTCCTTGACAGCGCTGAATATGAAACTAAAGAGTGGAGGCAGTGTGTTTTTATTAAACTGCTAAAACAACAAATATTATATCTATAAATTTGTTGTCAAATATTATGTCTATAAATCCATATCTTGGGCTTGCCCTAGTTTGGAGCCCTAGCTTCGCCACTGGTTGACATGCAACTTACATAGGCACATTTCACGTCCATCTATTGAAGGTTTAACAACAAAGAAAGGCCGATTTCTAGTAAAATAATAATATGAACACCTTTGTCAGGATTTTCATTTTTAAATACTTTAAACAGATTCTTCATACTATCCAATACAAATCTTTTTTTAAATTTTGTCTGCGCTTTAGTTATTGTCACTTTCTTACCACTTGTTGCTCTAGATATGTTATCTCTCACAAAGAAATCATGGCAATTGCTTTTTTTTCAATTTAGTTGTATGTCTTTATTGTCTTTTCATTAATTTTGTCCCCAGTGCTCCTTGTAGTCCTATTGATTCTTTTATTATTTCTTTTTTTTCTGTTTTATCAATATACTCGAAAATATTTTTATTAGTCTCTTTTCTTTTTGTGTTTTTGTAATTCTGTATTTATGTTGTATCGAGTTTGTTAGTTTTTAATATTTATTTTTTTCACTTTGGTTTTCATCATCATTGAATATTTGATTTACGTAGTTTTCGGAGTCTGTGATAACGTTTCTTGTATTTATTGCACTTCCTTTCAAACTTTTCAATTTCATCTCTCAATTTTAAATTGTCTTTGTAGAGTTTAGATCGATTTCTTTTCACTTTTTTCTTCCCTCTTTCCTTTTTGGTTAAATTTGGTGAATGACATTGAGGATTATTGTGTAACGGTAAGTCTTCTTGATTATTGTTATTTAAATTGTGTTCTTGTAGAACTAACGGAGAACTTGGTGGTATTAAATTAACAATATTATTCAAATTTTTCTGTTTTGCTCTTTTTTGCATTTTCCAAATAAACCTAGCATTGAATTTTTCTTTAGGTCGTTTTCTAATCTTTTTTTGCGTGATAGTTTTTCTCTTCTTTCTTTTGTATTCTTCGTATTTTTCAGGAACTTGTTTTAATTTTTCCTTATAACGCTTTTGCTTTTGTGCTGCAGTTAGCGGTGGCATTTTAACTAAATCAAAAGAAATACATGCCTAAGTACAAACACCCACATAAGCAACCATGCTAGAAGAATCCACCAAAAAAAGCATTGCAAATATTTTGCAAGAAAATATCTGTATGAAAGTATTTGTAAGAAATTGGTTCTGTTCTCATGAATGTAAGCTGTGTTAATGCTGTAGTCGATTCGATTAGACTCGCTGTTTACGCCATTAACAATGGGAAATGCTGATACTTTAAGCTTCATACATTTAATTCTGCCGATATAGATATCTGCTGGTATAGAGCTCACATCACAAAAAATCTTCATAATATTTATATATAGAACCCCTAATAGTAATCCACAAATTTTTATTGACAAACTGGAACAACTTTTGTTGAAAATTTGTAGTAGTGTGTAATCCAAAAAATAATATTGTGTGGAGATTGGAACTTTGACACTCTAAGACCTAATAAAAATTGTCAATATTTGATAAATTTATTAAAAACTTTAATATGGAAATGCATATTAAGCCACCTATTCGACAAACGAAATGTATCGATCAATTTGCAAGTAATAGAAGACAAATACAAGCTGAGGTCTACTACTTGGTTTGTCTGACCATGAGACGGATCAAACTCTTACAATACAGGCGAATAAAAAATGAGATTTTATTAAGTGGTTGGAACAAGCTCGAGATTTTAGTGAAAATCATATTAATAAATTTTGTAGCTGCATATCTTCAATCACTTTTTCTGATGTTTATGAACAATCATGCTTAAATGACGCTTTTCGAGAGTTTCATCATCTATTCGAACTGTTTTTTAATCTATGCTTTCCTGTAATAGTCGTAAAAAAACTAACAAAATTAGCAAAACCTCTTGGTTAACAAAAGGATTAAAAAAGTCTTGTATAATAAAAAGAAAACTATACTTAAAATACATACGGACAGGTGCTAACAAAAAGAAAAATTATAAAAAATATCACAATACCCTAAAAAAATGTATACATAAATCGTTACAATTACAAAATAGAAAGTATATAGATAGGCATAAAAATATATGCAAAGCAGTTTGGGAGGTTATAAATGCGAATATTGGTAAAATAAATGTAAATTTCCAAATAGATACTATTCTAAATAATAACGAAATATATTCTGAACCAAATGAAATTAGTGAAGCTTTTAATAATTTTTATATAGACACGACCAATACAAATGATTTTAATTTTAAAGTAGACTATAAATACTACTATGAATATCAATTATTTAAACACAATATTTTTAAAACCGACAGATGAAATTGAAATAAATAATATAATTAAAAGACTTAATAATACTAATTCAGTAGGATTAGATAATATAAATACAAAAATAATCAAAGCCTGTGCTAAGTATGTATGTGGACCTTTGAGCTACATTATAAATATGTCGAGTGAGGAAGGTACTTTCCCTGAAATTTTAAAAAAATCAATCGTTAAGCCATTATTTAAGAAGGGAGAGGCTTCAGATATGAATAATTATCGTCCAATCACTTTAATACCAGTTTTATCCAAAATATTTGAAAAGGTAATGATGAAAAGACTTTACGATTATTTTACAGATCAAAATATTATTAAATATGAGCAGTTTGGGTTTAGTAAAAAATAGTAACACGACATTAGCAAGTTTTAATTTAATGAAATATATTACAGATGCCATTAATGAAAGGGCACCGGTAAGTGCGATCTTCCTTGATATGACTAAAGCTTTCGATTTCGTAGACCATACATTTAATACGGAATATACATACAAAAATACGGAATCAGGGGAAAAGAACATGACTGGCTGAAGAGTTATCTGACTGGTCGTGAACAATGCGTAGAGGTTACTAAAATTCAAAAGGGAAATAAAATTACAAGCAGGTCTCGGTTACAAAACAATGAATACGGTGTCCCACAGGGAAATGTGTTAGGACCCTTTTTATTTCTAATATACATCAATGATCTTCCAAACGTCACTGACCACGAAACTGTTCTGTTTGCGGATGATACTACTGTAATTATAAAGTGTAAGGATAGAAAATTCTATGAAAGTGAAATATCTATTACACTCGACAAAATCTTTAGATGGCTCAAAAGTAACAATCTAAAAATAAACTTAAATAAAACCAAAATGATACAATTTAGAGATTATAGAACTCCACCTATTGGACTGAATATTTGTTATAATTATACAAAAATTGAAGAAGTCCACTCTACAAAATTTTTAGGATTAATGGTTGACATGCACTGTGACTGGAAAACTCATATAGAGTACGTATGCGATAAACTTGAAAGATTTGTTTATGCTATAAAACAGCTACGGTTGACAGTATCTACTGAAGCGGCGCTGAGCGCTTATTTCGGCTATGTCTCTTCAGTGCTCTCATACGGCCTCTTGTTTTTGGGCAACTCGGTTGAGATTGGCAAGGCCTTTCGTATTCAAAAGAAGTGTGTAAAGGCCATTTGTGGAGCTTGGTCTTTAGATAGTTGCAAGCCTTTATTTCACAAATTTCACATACTGCCTCTAGCTTGTATGTACATACGGGAACTTTGTGTTTTTGTCAAAAATCATCCACAATATTTCATCATTGACTCAAGTTTAGTCAGTAGAAGTGCCATGTCAAGAAAGAAAAACAATGATGTACTCTTTTAAAAATATTTCAGCACCAAATTTTTAAATTACAATAAATATATGTCAAAATTTAATTAATTATGCAAATGATTACATACAAATGTCAAGTATCTAAAAGCTATATCTGCCTCAAAGCAGACTTGATATATATATAAAAGAAATGTATTTATAAATGCCATTAGAGTTTACAATAAATTGTCTAACACATTCAAAGACCTACCTTTAGTTATTTTTAAAAGGAAACACAGAATGGCTGGAAACAAAATGTTTTTATAGTGTAGACGAATATATGACATATAAATAAATCTACAATAAGGGTAATAATGGAAAAACTTTTTAGATACTTGACATTTGTATGTAATCATTTGCATAATTAATTAAATTTTGACATATATTTATTGTAATTTAAAAATTTGGTGCTGAAATATTTTTAAAAGAGTACATCATTGTTTTTCTTCAATAATTTAACCTCATAAAATTTTATTAATATTTTTTGTACATTGTAAAGATATTGCACGCCAATATAATGGTAGAATGTAAGATCTCATTAATAAATAAAACCATCATAATATTATGTCTACACTATAAAAACATTTTGTTTCCAAGATTATTCTGGCAATGAATAAATGAATTTGAATTTACCATATGCTTGCAACAATCGTTTAAACACCAAAGAAATTTAATAAAACTTGATAATTAAGTTTTTACAAACGCAATAACATTGAATAGTCTCTTGAGTAACCTCAAAAAGTCTCCTGGGTCACTGAAAAGGTTATCCGGTGGACGGGTGACTCAGAGGACAATTAAGTAATAAAAATCTATTTAATGTGATTTTCTTGTAAATACAACGAAAATAGTTCTCTGTATGACATTTTAGACCATATTTCTTTGTGATACCCATAAAAACACCGCAACAAATGCAAAATACTTACGACTTTCCGTAGTTACCCAGTAGACCAGTAATAAAGACACCTTGCCTCTCAAGCCGTGGACGAAACAGCCGCGCCGCGGCGAATAGAGATCTGTTAGTCGGTGGATTCTATCACGTGATCACAGATTGATTCCTCATTGGTCAGTGCAGATATAACCCTATCCTGTCAACTTATGGTATATATCTGTTGGTGACTCAGTAGACCTCAGTATTATTATTCTATCAGGGACACAAGTTGTGGGACTATTTAATAAAAATATAATTCACTTTTAAATAGGTACTTAGTTTTTTTTAATAATACGAGGGGCACACTGAAATGGTCGTCAATAGAATATTTCGGATTGAGTTACAATAAAACCTTTTATATAATTTGAATACTAGCCTCTTAGAATCTTAATGACATTCAAACAATTAAAAAAAATTTAAAAACAAAAACTATGTTGGTTTAAATTTGACACGTCGTTAACAGAAATGGAGCTCACGCGTGAACATTTCCGTGCCATAATTTATCACCATTTTCGTCGCGGCTTATCTTAAGATAAATGTCTCAGCGAACTTGTTTCGATTTATGATGTTGAAGCACCGACTCAAACGACAATATACCGCTGGTATGCCGAGTTCCGACACGGTCGTGTGTCGCTCAGCACTGTTTCTTCTGCAGGTCGACCAAGAACAGCGGTCACGCCTGAAAACATCGCAGCTGTGCGAACTATTATATTAGATGACCGTCATGTGACATACGAGCAGATTCGGGCTGTTATAAGTATCGGAATTTCTGCAATTCAGTCGATATTACATAATGAGCTGTGTGTAAGAAAGCTAGTTTCCCGCTGGGTTCCCCGCAATTTGTCCGAAGCGCAAAAGGCGGTTCGTGTAGATCGGTGCCGGAACACTCTGCAACGCTGCAACGGAGGGAAGTCAAATGCCGTTAATAATATCGTTTCAGGTGACGAATCATGGATTTATTCATACGAACCTGAAAGAAAACATCAGTCAGCAGTTTGGGTCTTCGAAGACGAGGTCAAACCAACGAAAGTGGTTCGTTCCCGCAGTGTGTCAAAGAAAGTAGTCGCTACGTTTGTCTCGAAAAAGGGGCATGTTGCTACAATTCCTTTACAGGAACGCAGAACGGATACCGCTGAATGGTATATCACGGTTTATTTGCGAGAAATGATAGCCAAACTCCGGAAAAATAACCCAAAACGTCGCATCATCTTACATCACGATAATGCGAGCTCCCATACGGCTCGGAAGAGAAATAATTTTTTGAAGCAGGAAAACGTTGAGCTGATGAGCCTTCCTCCGTACAGTCCTGCCCTGAGCCCAAACGATTTCTTTACATTCCCTAGAATGAAAGATTTACTATGCGGTCGACGGTTTGAAGACCCCAAAGCAGTCAGGCCATCACAAATGTCATCATCAACTTCAGACTGGAATTACTGTTTTAATGATTGGAAGAATGGAAAAGTGCAATTTAGCTATGCCGTGCATGTGGTTTTTCTTATTCCCAATAATTTCAGTGTGCCCCTCGTATGAAGTCAGCACAGATTACCTCCAATAGATTCCGCATACAGATCCACAAACGCGCGCAACACATACTTGCTGTTTAGCTAGCATATGAAGTGACGCTAAGAATCACGCTGTTATTATCACAGAACACTATTACTCCTATCGGAGAAGAACGACAACTTCATACAAAATTTAGGAAATGCTATATCGACGATGAAGTGACAAGAACTGACATTTTTGCGATTTTACTTTTTTTTCGTAGATAAACTTTAAATAATTGTTTGCGTGAGCAGGCAATAGCAGCTAACTTTATATCTTATTTTTTAACCAGTTCTGACAATATCATCTAAGAAACTAATATCAATAACTACTAAATAACCCTAACGAAATTATTTCTGTCAAGACCTCCTATCTTCACTCCTGCTAGATACGTCCTTTACTTTCACGCAGCTGCCGGCCGACTGAATGGTCCTGCTTGGTAGTGTTGCCGTTTGGACAATCTAGTTTGTGGCTAAATAGAATAAAAAAGTGGCCAGCTTTTAAAAAAAATCGTAATCTAAAAGTAGCTAGAAGTGGCTAATATCATAATATCCTTTGCCTACTTTAATATTCTATATTGATAATTAAATAATATACAAGGTTAGGGATAAGTGGGTTTAATTAAAACCGGATCTAATATACTTAAGTTAATTAAGTATTTATTAAAACTAACAATAATGTTTGTACGTATCTACAATTAAAATTTAGTAACTAATTAAATTATTTGAAAAAAAATAAAAATTAATAATCAATTTGTAGGTCTGCAATGTCATCTGGTAATTCTATAACCTCTTCGTCAATGGGTGATGATGATGTAGATGGTGTTACGATTTGTTTTAAAGGTTTGACAGTTTTTTTAATTTTTTTTAAAACCTCAGGCGGTAAAACATAGTTGTGACAATTTTTCTTCTTTATTTTTAATTGATTTCTAATCATTATTATAGAATTGAGTGTCAATGAACACATTCTATTTCTCAATTTATTTTTTACAGTGTTCATCACGCTGAACAGCCTTTCTACTTCCGCATTAGAGTGAGGAAGGGACATTGCAGCAATAGCCAAGTCAGCTAGTTCTCGAAATGTATTAACTCCTGCTGCATTCTTGTATTTTAAGACTTGCGCCCAGAATTTAACACTGTCTCCTGCAGTTTCCCATTCTATGGGTGTAATTGTATAGTTTTCCATTGTTGAACAATTTTATCTGTCTTTTGGTCATCGAATCCCAATTCTCTTGCTAATCCAACCAGTGCATGAGGATCCTTGATCTGTTTTAATGTGTTCTCTGGACTTAAGAGTGTTACTTTTGCTAGGATCTCGTAATTAGAAGGTATTCTGTTCTGAATTTCTTGTACCAACTTGACACTGAAGTCGATGCATCGTTTTTTGATATTAGAAATTGCTTGCGGAGATAAGTTGCTATTACTGGCATGAGATTCGAAAAGATGTCCCAAATGTGCAACTGGATCTAGATGATCTTCTACTTTGATAGTGAGGAAATCTTTGTCTGTTGTCGCGGCGCCTGGTATTATTATTCTAACGCAGACAGATCGTAACAAGGTCATCAGAGTTTCTAACAGTTTGACAGGATCAATATTTTCACCTTCAAATACCTTAATGCCAATTTGAACGTCGTGAAGAATACTTTTCAAAAAACATAAGTAAAGACGATTACCCTCGTCATTGTACATTTCCCAAAGAAGTCCCGCTGTATAGCACTTCTCTCTGGCCAAAGAAAAATGTAGTTTTAACTCGTTCCATTGTGCCAATATTCTCAACACAGCAGGCTCTATTGATAACCAACGGGTGTCACAAACCTTTAATATTTTTAATGGTTCATCCCCGCAGTTAATTGTTTGAAACAGCGCTTTATATTCGTCTCGGCGTTTTGGAGAAATGGAGAACCAGTTGTACGTCTCTCTTATCAGAAATTCTATGTTACGTGGCAGATTGCTTTCAGACGCATGGCTGACCGCCAATTGCAAAGAGTGGCAGATGCATCTAATGAGGATCAAATTTGGTAAATTATTTTCTCTCTTCAAAATTTCAATTACGCTGTTATTTCGGCCCGTCATGACCGAGGCATTGTCGGTGCCGATCCCAATCAAATTTTGTATTGGAAGACTTTGTGACTCCAAACATTTTACTAAAGATGTGACAATACCTCTCGCATCAGCTCTTTCAATAGGCTCCAGAGACAGAAATGATGACACAATATTATTCGTATTCAGGCTAAAATATCGTATTATTATTCCCATGTATTTTGAGACGCTAACATCCGTAGATTCATCTAAAATAATACTATATTTCTGCGTGCCAATATCTTTTAGAAGAGTATCCTTAAAATGCGGCGCCAGCACTTGATTTATAACTTGCGTACATTTAGTTCTATGCATTTTTATATCTTTGGCACACTTTGAATCATGAAAAACTTCTTTACAAAGGTCTGTAAGGTGGTCAGTGTTGGATATGGAAGTATGTTCAGCAATGAACAAGGCAAGCTGGCCTTCAGCTTTTTGACTGTTCTTTGAACCATCATCAGGTGTAGAGGTAAACTGGATCTGTTTATTTTTTGTGATTAATTCACATTTTGCTTTGTGTTTTTTAGATTCTCTGTGCTTACGTAAATCATAAATTTTGGCAGCAATTTCTACATGACAATACTTGCAAAAGGCTTTCGTTGGACTATCCGCTATTGGCTTTATCCACTGTTTAAAGTCTTCGTCATTCTCCCATTCAGTCCTATATTTTTGAATGTAGCTCTTTTTCTTGAGAGGAACATCCATGATATTTCCAATAACTTTCCAAGAACTCAAGACTCTCAATTCACCTTTAAAACTTAACAAAAATGAAAAATGTAAGAACTATCCACGCGTGAGAGGCTACGGCTAAACAAGAACAATGCGATCTATCGTTTCGACTTTCGGTACTATATGAGTGGAGTTGGGGAAACCCCGATCATAGATTACACCTGCGGCGCGGAGAGTGAGCGGACCGCGGTAGTGTTGCCTTCTCAGCAAAAGGCGGTAACCACATGTTTCTTTAAAAGAACTTAGTAGCTAACAAAAATTACCAGAAGTAGTTAGAAGTAGCTAGATTCGTTTTGGTGGCTAAAATTGATTTTTTTTTTGGCTAAAACCTTTGAAAATCCGCTAGATCTAGCCACAAAGTGGCTAAAACGGCAACACTGCTGCTTGGTGCTTGCGTCTAGGAAGGATAATTTCATAGATAAGCTAAAAATGCGTGAGTGAGACAGATAGAAGGGATCATGCAATATTCGCTTACATTTTTTCTTCTGTCATTTCGTTTGAATTCGGAGCAAGTTGCAACGTGAAAGTTTGCGGGAACTGTGTTTTTGTTGTTTTTAATGTAAATAGTGGGATTTTTGTTATACCAGGTAATTATTTTTTGCCTAAACTAATGCTCATACAGTTAAAACTTAAACAGAAGTGTTTTCTTCTTGTTTTTTTTTTTGTTATTGTTAAGGTTAATGAATACGTTTTTCAAATACCTAAGTAGGTATTTTAAAGTTGATGAAGTCTTCTGGTTTTTCCGAGCTATATTAATAAAATATACAGCTTTTGTTAATCATCTACTTAAATTTAGTTTTATACTACAATAATATAAGATTATTATGTTATCGTAAGATTTTTTGGTGTGTTCCAAGAACATAGAAGTTATTGTTTGAGTGTACAAATTTGATTTGCGCATTTTTAGTAGATAGAAGCAATTGCTTTTGTATTAGTATAGAACCATAATAACTTTTATTTCGTTCTAACAAAAAAATACTGATGTTTAGTCATTAATTATAATACGTAATAATCTTTTTTATAGGCCGCCAATATTATTACTACCGCTATGGCTCGATTTCTACAAGAAGTGAGAAGCAAAAGGATTCTTAGCGAACTTCAACAAGATAATTTGGTAACAAACCTAAGACATTCTACTGCTGAGGAAAATGAACAGATATTTATACATCAACACGAAATGGTAAGATATTTAAATCATGTGAAGGTTTTGAGTATAAAGTTCTTCTGCTTTGCATAAATAGGAACCTACTTTGTAAGAACACCTTAACTTTACATTTAATAATGATTTATTTATTTATTTTTAGTCTGAAAATAACATAAACACGCCTTTTTCTGGCAATTGCTGTAGTCCTGAACAAAGCGATCTCAACCCTAATGCCAACCCAAAGGAAGCTATCAACGCCACCATCAATGTTTTAAGTCCACCAGAAATCTGTAGCTTTGAACCCACAGAAATCCTTGACAATAATGATTACGAATCTACTTCTTTATATTCAAGCACTCGTCGTCGTCTCGTAGTAAGGTCTTGGTCATTATCTGATTTAACGCATGATACAAACAATATGATTAGTTCCCTAAAAAAGTCGCCATCGGTTCCAGCGTTGTTGGACTGTTCAAGCATGGGTAAAAAAGAGTGAGTTTGGCATGACTTCAAACCATGATGCAATATACGATTCTAAAACAAAGACTCCAAGAGCAGAAGTGGAAACGAAACTTTCGATTTTAAACAATTTTTTTACAAGTTTGCCAAAATAATATATATAATAATAATAACATAGGACGCATAGGGTATCCATGAATTTAAGGACGGTGTCGGACAGAAACTTTTTAAATTTTGTCAAAGAAAATAGAGTTTTTTTTTAATTCATTGAATTTACATTCTATAAGTGAAACCAAACCACTGGTTTCAAGGATAACGGTGTTTACACTAACAGCCTGTATATATATATAATTTGAATGTATACATGGTTTCTATTTATAAGTTGTTGTATCTTGTGTCAATATTTATGGGGTGTTTTTGTATGTTCTACATTGGATGGTTTTTGTTTTGTCATAGTTTATTTCTAAGTAATGGTCGTAGAGCCACTGATTTACTTACTGTCTAGTTTCCTGAAGTACTGGTGTTGGGTTTTTGTTTTGTCATAAGTAATCAATATTGATATATCATCAGCGAATAAGATTGGCAATGTTTGTTCCTTATTTAGAACTTTTGGTAAGTGGTTGATGTATATCACAAATAGCACACAATCCAACACGCTGTCTTGTAGGATTTAACATTTTATGCTCCTTTTTCGGATCGCACTAATTTAAACTATTTGCGATTTATTTTCCCATACGATTTAAACCATGTGTAAGCTGAGCCACTAATAGCAGAACTGTGTAGATTATGTAAAATTATATCATACAGTACTTTATCATATGCTTTTGTTATGTCAAGTAATACTCTTACAGTCTTAGTACACATTTCTTGTCATTTATATGTTTTAGTCAGTCTGGATTATAGAGATATAATACCTATGGAGGCGGCGTATTCTACTATAGAAATAATAGTTATACAAATATCTATAATATCGACACACACTTGTCAAAAATACTTTTGTTTCTTTTTAACAAAGCAGTAGCTTCATTAGAAAAGGGAGACAACAACAGTTTGTCTATTGCTTATTTTGACAACACTTTCGTGTGACGTCATTAGCTCATCCATGCGTGACTGCGTCGCCATGTTAAGCGCTGAGTTTAGTGGTAGATCTGCTGTCAAACTGTTGAATGCTAAAAGTTTTTTTTGTTGTGTAGTGCAGTGCCTTCATCTAATCTTATAGTAGGTGTTTTTCTTCTATTTATATTTTATTATGTCAAATAAGTGTCTTACAGTTTACTTCAAGTGTTATGGTAGGGATGTATTTTTTTATTATTACTTTATGTAAAATGCATAATTTTGTAATTTATTTATCCAATAAAAAAACTGCTAAGAAGTCTTGTAGTTATTAAAAATCACAGTATATGTATGTTTGTCGCTACTAGTTGGGGGAGAAAAAACAAAAAAATTCAGGAGTGGTTTTCAGTATGCCTCTATTAGAGTCGTTATGTAAATTATTAAAAAACCTTATCAATTGCTGTATTAGAATATATTGCGGGATTTCTGGCAGAAAAAGGTTCAGATACCATGCAAGAAGAAGCAGTGACAAACTGTCTTATAAGAAATTATATTAAAAAATAATTTTGTTCAGAAATCAACAAATAATAATAATAATAGTTTATATAAAAATCTATCATGATCATGAAACGGTGGCTGAAATATGATATCCAGGATGTTATCCTGCATAGCATATTTCGTGATCATGCCAGATTTTCGAAATTTGATAATATTTTTCATTTAAAATCCGAATGAATAAATAAAATATGATATACAACTTGCTTGTATAACTTACTATTTGTGATGAATTATGTGCAGAAAAATTAATAATAAATAAGTATTGATTTTTAAAACAGTTTATTTCATTTTTACTGAACTAATCATTATTATTTTACATTAATAATATGGGATCTGGGATCACCATCCCAGTAATTCTTTCAATACAAAAGAAGGATTTAATTTCTATCTACACAAAAGCCATAAATCAGTCAGTCACATTTATTCGCCAGATTAGTTGACGATTGAAAATTCAGCCCCGTATCTACGTAAATACCTACGGAGTAAAGTAAATTAAGCAACAAATCCAATTATATAAAATGAGAAAAAAATTCATATTAGTTAAAATAGAGTTACAACCCTATAAAAAGCGGCCATTTTATGCGCCAGATTTTTGTAGGTAGTCACGCTAATTTTGTAGGTAATCCCAGTCTATATACTTCTAAGTCAGTGGTCTGGATATATTTATATACTGCTAGTGTAGTTGATCTTGATTTTCTAAAACCGTTTTGGTTGTCATCAAGAATATATATATTTTTCTAAAAAATCATATAATCTGATACACATGGCTTTTTCAAACACTTTCGCAAAATATAGGTTATAAGGCTATAGGTCTAATTACTAGGAGTGTAAGTGGCACATATTTAGGAAATGATATTGTACTGTTGTATGTAAATAAGTTTTACCTTCTAATATTATATTCAGGTGAAACTAGGAGTTGCTGTCCATTGTTTGAGCACAAATGTGGTTTACATGTTTTTTCTTTTGGGAATAAGAGTGGTCAATGGTCAAATCAACATATTCTGAAAAATAATAAAACAATTATATTAAAAGCAGGATCCTTAAATATAATATTATTAACAAGACATCTTAGTGTAGCTAAATTGTCTTAAAAAAAGGAAAATAAAGATAAAAAAGTCTACTATGACTGTTTCATTATACATTCATTATACACTATATCAAAAAATATTCACCACTGTTAATGATAATAAGACTTGTTCCTTTTAATTTATAGATAACATCTATAAATAAAAAGGACCTGTACCCCTAGCACGAACATTTTGATCTATCGTATAGTTTACGCCACAGTTTAGTTTCAGTTAAATTTTGTATGGGAATTTGAACAGCGCTCCGTAGGCGTATTTGGAACTAAAATTCAGAAGCACGAATATCTAACGCTACGTTACGTATCGTTTCGTATAGTTTAAGGTATAGTAAGACACAAAATGTATGGGAATCGGCAGCACAAATCTTTTTTTGACGTACGTTATCGTGTATACACTGTAGAGAACTACGAAATCTTTCTCACCGACATTTTTACGGTGACAACGCTATCGAGAAGTATTAGTTTTAAGTTTTCTTGGGGTTTTCGTGGATTTAAGTTTAAAATATTTTTATTAACAAAAAATAGAATGCGATCCACGATTTTTTATTATTTTGTGTGGCATTTGGCAGTCGAGGCAAGAAAGCCAAGATGAGAATTAAGGTACGCAAAATTTACTATTTAAAGTATTACTAATTAGTATATTACATAATTATATATGTACCCTTATTTTAACTATTTATTTGAATAATAATCATTAGATTTTAATAGCTGTTTCAATTAAATATATCTAAATCGTTCCAGTGGTATAACTCAACGAATTTTTATTCGGCAAACGGAAGACCCTATGGATATTTCTGAATTGGAATTTAAAAAAAGATGCAGATTAAGTAAAAATGCATTTAAATTACTTTTTTTAAATTACCGTTAATTTTGCTCTGAAAACTTCAGAGGGAGTAAAAGAATAAGCTTAGAACTTAAGGTATAAAAAATGATGCACAAAATTAAAGTACCTGCTGTAGTTATTATGTACCTTAGCTCAATTTTTTAATTTCATTTATGTTTTAGGTTCTTTGTGCTTTATTATTTTATGCAACAAGCTATTATCAACGTTTAATCGGTATGGGTAAAAACTTGGACCAAACAAGTGTTATCCAATGTGTCTCTCAAGTTACGGAGGCACTTAACAGTCAATAAATAATAACCAATACCTTTATCAGGTTGCCCACTTCAAGGGCTGAGAGAGACGTCGTCAATGTAAAGTACTTACATACTTATTTTTAGCTGTGTTGATTTCTCTAGTCTAATTTTTGACGGCTCCGTGGCGCAGTGGCTTAGCAAGGAGTTGTAGCGCACGGGGCCGCGGTTTCGAATCCTGCACGGAACGGAGTATTTGTATGGTCTACAAGTAATTACTGCCTCCACGACACTGGATAAATCCTATTGTGGCGGTTTTAATAAAACTAGTGTTTTTGTGACTTTTTATAGATTTCTTAGAACATACAAGATAACGGGTGTTATCTTGTATGTTCTAAGTTTCATATTTACCACAAATATAATCCAATACGCACCCAATACGTTAATAAGTTATGTTAATAAAATTCAAACATTAATGAAAAAAGCTTTTTGTTTTTCCGAATTTATAATAAACTACCTGATACAATAAAAAATATGAACTTATTTAAATTTAAAAAAAGTGCTTAATGAATTATTAATAGACAAATGTTATTATAAAATTGACGATTTATATTGACTATTCATATTATTTTGTTATTGTCATCTATTTAATTTTATCAATGTGGAATCTTAATTGGTATTACAACTTCATTCATTTTTATTCTATTTTATTTTTATGGCATGATTATCATAAGAACACACAATTATATTTGTATGTCTTTAAGACAAAACATAGCGTACTAATAATTGTAACCCTCGCAAGACCTTAAATGTTTAAACCTACCTATGTTTGACAAATAAACTATTCTGATTCTGAAAAAGAGATTGACCATTTATTTTATTGCCGAAAGTATTTTCATTATTTAAAGTGCAAGTTGTAAGTTTAACGGTAAAAGAATGTCCACTACCTTATTCGAGATGGGCAGCAGTCTCCTCGCAATTACAATTAACAAATTAACCTTTTGAGCGCCACGCCAAAAACTCACTACCGTGTCCTGTACGCCAAAGCGAAAAGTAAACAAAAATACCTACGAAAAAAACAGTGCTGCCAAGAGTTGATATATCGATAACACTAAATAACTTGTTTTTGTTGGTTTTTTATACAATAAATGACTCTTTATAATCGGGTATGTTTTATTTAATCTTGTGCTGTCTTCCACTCTTTTTATATATGTAATTTGTACATAAATAAAAAAGAAACAATAACAATAAAATAGTAGTAAACCACA